AAAATAAAAAAAATACAAAATATTGCACTCAGAAACACGGCTTAAGTACAGAAGCCACATTTGCTGCAGAAAATGCAAAAAAAAGTAGGCGTAAAGCGAATCAACAAAAATTTCAGTTCTCTCAAAGTTAACTTTATTTAAAGAGTAATAAGCACAATAGCAAAGTGCTGGAATTCAACCAGTTCAAGCGTTTTTCGCTACAGCGAATCCCAGAATTAACTTGGAGAAGGCCTATATATGACCGTTCTAGTGTAGGAAACCAGAAGTTACAGCTTTGAGGTCTGAAATAAAAAACCGTTGCAAACTTACCTCACTTGATAATCACCCTTGTTCAAACACCAGCCATTTGGTGGGTTTTGAAAATTCCACGCTATTAGTACCGTAAAGTTGTCCGAATTTACTGAAAAACGTTTTTTCATGACGAGAAGAAGCCTTGACCAACTTCTAATCCTTGGTTTTGAGCAACTTTCGTAGTTTCACTAATAATCTTAATGTTTTATTTTTATATAATTACAATTCAGAAAAGTAGAAGAACTTCAGCCGACAAGAATGGCAGAACGTGAATTAACAGTCAATGAGAGCAGGACCAAAACTGAGGTAATAATGAACAAATATACCTACAGAGATTGCCGGGAAAATGACGCCGTTTGAACAAAGCATGACATTTTCTTAAGTCATTATTGCCTTTTTATTTTTAAACTTAAAAGGTAATTATCTTATCTAGCAGCATTTTAAAAATCTTTCCTTTATATTATAAAAACAGATGATTTAAAAAATTTTTCCCATTATCAAGATTGGAAGGAAAATTATGCTGAGGAAGAACGAAGAAAAGTGTTGCGTCATTCACGACTTCTCGCACGGAGCACATTAAGCAATTAACGGAGTGGATATATAAAGTTTTTCACCCGCAAATAAGGAAAATTTTTCGAGGAAGAATACTGATAGCAATCTATAAGAAAAGAGCAGAAAAAAAAATTTTTTTTTGTTTGAAGCAGAGCTTACAGGACTGTATTAAAAACGCTGTTGTGTATGTTTAGCGTAAGATATTGGTGCTTTATGACAAAAAACTAACGATGAAATCTTCAAATACACCTCTAATCACAATCAGCCTATTGTAGAGAAATTGTCCACCTAATTTTTAATCCTTTGATAGTAACGAGTAAGGCTCTGGCCTTAAGCAAAGTTCAATGTAGCGACGTTTACTCCCCACTGCGGTATTTTTCTGCTACTGAACTGCAGATTTGTTAGTTTCCTTGTGTCTTTGATAACCTTGACTCTTCTCGTCAGTTATCCTCTACAAAAAAAATGTATTTGAAAAGTTTTGATAGTAGCTAGCGTCACTTATCATTTGCATTTCATTCATAACGAAAAAACCTCTAAATTTCTGTTCCATTTTAGGGTCAAAAACTGAGTCACAAGTAGCTGCACGACATGCAGCACTGATAACTTTTAACAATGTAAAAAGCCAAGGCCACACAAATCTGAAAAATTTTTTTCACTTTTTTTTTGCTCCTCTTATCCCAGCCATTGCTCTGTTAAATGTTTGTACTGTTAGTTTTTTGAGCTCTTGCATATTGACAGCCCCATATGTACATTAGGAGCAGGGACCTCCAAAGAAGCAGAAACTTTTTTTACAAGCACTTAAATGTTTTAGAACACCAGTTTCTTGCCTTTTTCCAATCTAAAAGAAGAGCCTCATAAGTGCTCCTTATATAAAATTTTTCAAAAATTGGACTGGTTTATGAATGATCAGAAGTTAACGAAGAATACTTGTATTTCCGTAGAGGACCGCGAGGTGGCGGATGGTGCCTTGCTGTTTCTGATCAAAGGTGGCACAACGCGTTGGCCTTCAGTAATGCTCTGCAAAAACATCCCCAAAGAGTTAATACAATTAACTAAAGTATAGGAGCTAAGTTTGTGACCGGTTGCATGGATAAATTCAGCTGCTGTGACTTCATATGTGAGGCTTCTGTTTTCGCATAGACGACGGCAAATAGAAAATATCCTTCAAGCCTAACTTAGTTTTTGAAAAATCTGGTGCTAAAGAAACCAAATTTTTTGCAGCACTCCTTCCTTCTGTGCCTTAAGTAGCTATATAACATCCTTAATCCAACCTTTCTTAATCTCTGGTGAGGAATTCGTACTGGCTCCATGTTTCCCAAAAATAAAAGACAAAGAAAGCACAGCTAGCCACTTCTCAAAGCGCTTGTCTGGAAAAGCAAGTCTCTTACTAAGTAAGCATTTTACCATCCCTAGGTACTAGACAGCCCGTTTTCAGAAATAAATGTTAAACTGATTTCTTTTTCGGAAATTTTAGATTACAAGACAGAAGGCAATTTAACTCACCTCGCTTAAAAGTAATTGGAGCATACAAAGAGCGGCCTTTTTCAATTTAAAAATCTTTTCGGTGCACGTAACTGCACTGCAGAGTTATCGGACTTGAAACTGGAATTGGCAACACAAGAAATCGGGATC